CATTCCTATCAAAAGTTATTCAAAAAATGCTCACCGGTCTTGTATTTTGGGATGGATAGTAGTTTAATTAGTGACTAATTTTGGGCGTATAAAATGCCTCAATACCATCAATCGAAAAAATGCTCATATTCGTAGGTCACTCTTAATCGTAAGCAACATCACTTAAACTAGATTTTGAGTTTCTGAGCGTGTATATGTTCAATCAACATTCGGTTAGTTTTATCGCGAGCTTTATAGGATTCACAAGAAGGCGTGACAGTTTCACGAGCTACTGGATAGTGATGAAATTCGTTGATTGTCACTTTCCCAGCCCCAGCAGGTAGGTAGATACGAATCCATTTACAGTGGAAGTACTTCTGTAAGTACTCTGTAAAAGTCCGATAAATAATTATTGCCTGTTATCAATAATAAAATCTGAGTCGACTGTTGTAAACAACTTTTGTCCTCAAATTTTACTTAAGAATAAGGATGGACTTCAAGTAGGAAGTTTACTTCGTATCTCATTCAAACAAGAACTCAAATTATTAATGTAAAGCTTACCGCCATGTGTCAGTAATACGGTACCATCTCGATAAATATGTATTAGAGCTCCAGCTTGATACATATATTTTTTTGTAAAACCAAGACCAAGTTTTGTGGCAGTCATTGCTATACCACGTTTTCGATAATGATTTTCACTATTAAATTTTTTTAATTGTTCCAATCGTTGATAATACTCTGATGATTTAATTAATTCACTCCACATTCTTGGAATATGCCAATTTATTAACGTTTGTTTAAAATGTGTAGAATCATTTTCCTGATATAGATTTATTTGTCTTAATTCTACCGGTTCCATTTTTAAATATGATGCGACATGTTCTAGTACTACTTCACATATGAGAGCAGCTTGTGGCATTCCAAAACCACGAAATGCTGTCGTTGATTGGATATTTGTTTTACATACGCGCCCATAACATTTTAGATTCTTAAAATTATAAACATTATCACAATGTAATAATGAACGTTCCAATATAGGCACAGAATAATCTTGAGACCAACCACCATTACTGTATATTACTATATCTAATGCTTTTAATATACCTGAAGATGTAAAACCCACTTTGTATATAGATTTATATGGATGACGGTGTCCGCTTATCAACATATCATGATTTCGATCAAGAGTCAAACGAACTGGTCGCTTTAGTTTCATTGCGGCTATTGATATAGCAATACATAGTCTTATATGACGTATTGAATCTTTACCACCAAATGCACCACCTACACGTTTTACATGAACAACGATTTTATTACTTGGAATACCTAAACACAATGCACTGTGACAATGGACGAAATAGTTATATGAAATTCTTTTTGAACTTTCGAGAAGCTATGTTGATAAAATGACACCTGAATGTCAATGCACTTTGAAATTTAAGATTTAGACGACAGATTAAATTTTTAAATATTCAAAACACTCCTTAGCTTGATATAACAGTTAACAAGGGAGAATAAACGAAATATCGCAATTCGTTCCACTTTCTGCTGTCTAGAAAATGAAATACTGTTGAAACATGGTGAAATACTATTATGACACACTAAGCAACTTGCAACTTTCTCCATGGAACACCTGCGGAGTGGAAATTTCGATGACGGTTTAATCAGTAATTATATCCTACATCTCAATCCTGACAGAACCATTTTTTCAAAATTCTTTAATTTTACAAATATTGTCTATGCTGAAAATCTTACCTTTGAAAAAAACCTTTGAAGGTTTTTAAAGATCTTGCTACACCTAGTATAAGTCTACCTCAAAAACCAAGCGCTATACAATGAATTATCTTTTAATTACAAGTAATTTTAAGAAATATAGTTGTTTGGCAGCCAAGCTATTCGATAAACAAGCCAACAGAAACAACATGCATCAACGAAGAACCGAGTCACGGACATCCGTTAACAAAATCATCGCTCTAACCACTGATCTACCGAAACACGCAACACGATGTAATCAGATCGTATTAATACAGACACAAGATCTTCATGCGAAAAAATTTAAGATAAAAGTAAAGAAAAACACATTTCGAGTTTACAGCTTAAGCATCAGATATGCTTTTTAAACGTTCTTTAAATCATTTTTCTACAATGATTACTGTTCGAAAAATAACTACTATCGGAGCCAAAATACAAGAGCAGTGATTATTTTTTAAATAACTCGGCACCAAATAAAGATAGAGGCTTGCGATTTTCGCCATTCGATTGCCAAGGATTGAGGCAATCTTTCTAC